ACCGAGAGCGATGCAGAAAAAGTTACTGATTTCGGAAATTTAGCTTCAACGTGGTCGATCGCAAGTCCAGATAATATTGCTAGCTGTAAGTTATCTAAAAAAGTCGAGCAGCGAGCAAAAAGGATACAGTAGCAGGAGCAGCAGCAGCAGCAGCGCGGCAGGAGATGCAATATAGGAAGGGTAGCTGAAAAAAGGAAGAGAATCCTAGAGCTGGCTGATACGCACGCACACACCCCCACGGCCTACACACGTACATTCATATATATCTATCAGCTCAGACGTGGACGCGCCGCTGCTGTATAAGGGGGTTAGTGCGAGTGAGAGAGAGAGAGAAAAAAGAGAGAGGTGAGCGCGCAATAGGGAGGTGCACGCGACGCTGTTCGCCTGCCACCAGAGGTGACTACACTTTTTCTCTGTCTTTCTCTTTTCTATCCGCTGCTAGTACCTTTTTTTGCACACACGCGTATCCCAGTCATTTCAGAGGAACCATATAACCAGTTGGTCGGGAGGGGAGGGAAGTCGCGACGAGATGGTGGAGGTGGAGATAGACAGAAAAAGAGTCAGGGCTCGGTATTCTCCAGTAAAAATCGATCCTTACCCCTCCTCTTGCTGTTGCGCCAGCAGCACGCTAAGGGGGAGGTTTATCCTCTTCCTCTTTTCCGGACAGCGGAGTTTTTCCCGCGACGCGCAGCAGAGGTAGGGTAAGAGAAAGAGTGCGCGAGAGCGAACGAGCGACAGAGGGAGAGAGAGAGAAAGTAAAAAAGAGGGTGGGCCCATGGATCGCGGGGGTGTACGCTCTACCTATGTCTATGTATACGTACTCGGCAGTTCTACGCCAGATGGGAGGAGGAATATGGGAACCCACGTTAGAGAGTCCAGACTGGTCACTCTAGCGGCGTACGCGTATATCTATATCTAGATCCAGTTGTGTGTGTATGCGTGTATACGCTGTTTTCTGCACCTGGTGCAGCGCGAGCAACCATGGTGCACTGCATATATACGTATATAGCCGGCAAGTTAGGTGGGCGGACGTTTTTCACCGGCTTTTACGCTCTTTTTCTCTCTTTCTAACTGCCCTCTAGCGAGCGCACCATGTACAGGGGGTGCCGAACAGAAAAAGAGGTAGAGAGGTAGAGAGAGAGAGAAAAAGATCGAGAAAGATGCATAGAATGAGAAAGAGAGAAAGAGAGAAGGGATGGGAAAATCAACGGACGGTGGGAGGGTAGCAGCAGTAGGTAGAAAAAAAGGAGGGTGTCTATGGCCTCTCCAAGTGTATGTTCGTGCGAGTATACGTGTGAGTGTGTGCGTGTAGAACCGTTCTTTCTAACGCTAGCTCGCCTCTGTCGCGTCCGTTCTGCAACGATGAAAAATTACCCAGAAGCAGTAGTATAGCAGTAGCAGCAGTTTTTTTCCTTCGGGCCCCGAGTTCTCTCTCTCTCTCTCTATCTCTCTCTTTCTCTTGCCAGCTCGTCTAGAGAGTAAGAGAGGAGGGAGAGAAAATATATATGGGTTTGCGAGCCGCCTGACAGACAGCTGCAGTAGTAGTATAGCAAACGGAGCACCAGCCCTGATATATCGACCCGAGTACTATACTACACCTACACGTTCCCGCAAACACACGCACACATACGTATATTCTCCATCGCCATCGTATCGTATCTATTTTTTATGCGTAATACATCTGTGTACACACTGCGGCGCGTGGACGAAACCTACCAAGCCCTCGCCTGCGCCTCTACGCCATTTGACGCGCTGATATCGCGCCTAAACGTCTCTGTACGCACTCTCTTGGCCTTTTCTTCGGCTCGATCGTGCAAGCTCCACAATATGCCGCTGCAGCCAACTACATGTTGGCGAGTTTCACGGGCACGCTTCCATTGCCCCCGCGACTTTTCCCTCCCTTTTGCATCGTCCGTCGCACTATCCGCTCCACAGAGTCCTGCAATTTTTCTTTGTTCGCCTCTGCGCTCTCTTCCTTTTTGGCGCGTAACTTTTCGCACCCCGCGCTATATACACTTTTGCGCTTCGATTTTGATTTATATCTATATGCATACGCGACTGCAACGCGCCCCGGCTTATATCGCGGCGCTGTGCATGGTGACTTACGACTTTTACGCACGTTTATTTGTCGTACGCGTCGACCGTCGAATTCTTGATTGACGATGACGTTTTTCTCTTCAACGTGTGAAATCTTTCATGTACGATTTTTTTGTTGCCTTTTCCTCGTTTTTATACCTTTAAAAGAATGAAATTACAACCTTTTTGACACGAAAAAAAAAATTTGTTTATTTACATTTCATCATCAATCTCATTTGATTTCATGTATGATTTAATTCTGTAAATCACGCTTATGGACAAAAACCCATTTCAAGTTTGAATTGGAAACAAAATTATACCAATATTTGGTGAATGCTACAGTTGTTACTTCAATGGCGTAATGAAGAACATGATTAGATGTTACTGTCCATTGAAAAATAAATATTGTCAAACTCATTTTTCTATGCTTTCTTTTCAGCTTTTTGATAAACTTAGAATGACTCTTATTGTTTATCAAGCTATTATACAGACTACTTTTTACTAAAATTTTGCATTATTTTTCGATACCCCTTAAAACTATATTTGAAATTGTTTTGTTTGAAATGTAAAATTTATCATTGTATTGAAATTATTCACTCAGAAAATGATGAATTTTGTTCTTGTTATTAAAAAAAGTTATTAGAGCCTCGATAATAACTTGAAAATAATTGCATAAGAATTGAACTAGAAGTTTTGGCTGTGCACATAAATGTAGTTGCAATACTTTTTATCTGCATCATAGTTAGATAGAGATATAGTCACTATACATAAATGTTCCAAACGGAAAAGGCAGCGCCACCTCTGGTAAAAAATCTGAATCGCTTCGAGCGAACCAATACACAAACTACGCACTAACGACTGAGGTATCTTTATATGGTATATAGAGGAAATTATTTGCATATGATGCTCGCTTACCTTTCGTGATAATTTACTAAAACTCGATACCAGTGAGCGCGCGATCCAAGAGAGATTTTCCTTTGATAACTGAAATTTCAAAAGTTCGTGTTATTTTTTATTTCTATCTTCGTCTGTATCAATGATTTGAGCTCAACTAGATTTCAAAATTTTGTATGGAATGAAATCATATTGAAAATTAAAGTACGTTTTAGATAATAGAAAAATCCATTTAATTAATTTATAATCGGGTTATAACAGATTATGATAGCTCAACAAATTTAGGAAAGAATTTTCAAGACAATTCGAAAAAAGCTAAAAAAAATTCAATTTCTTTCCAGCTATAATATCTTCTTTTTGTGTTTTTATTTCACCAAATCTCAATCATGATAACTTTGAGTTTAAGGACCGAGGGTGTATAATTTGCACCTAAGGTGTCACAGTTTGAACAATTTCTTTATCAAAAATAAAAATTAAAAGTTTTTTTCACAGTCAAATTTTTCTAGATAAAATTATCCCGAACTTTTGCCTCTAATTTTTTTCGAAAATCTAACGTTGAGTTCAAAAAATTCATTAAAGCGTACGTTAAGATTAATTCACAAATTTCACAGATCCCATTTATTTCGAAAATACGGTAAGTTAAAAAATTATTATGACGAGAGTATCGTAAAAAAATGATGTACCCTTAGTGTATACCCGAATTTTAAATTTAATAACGTATGGTTTAACATTTCTGGACAAACAATATTCTAACTAGTTGAAATCTTATATGTTAAAGCCGTTTGTTATCATTATCATAATATTTCCAAATCATGAGAATTTTGATATGAATATTTGGCTTCAATGCTATTTGACAGATCTCGTGCAAAATCTTATTGGTAGAAGAACATTGAAAATTCATCAACCTCTCGTAAAAACTATAAGTTTACATTACAGTCATGTTAATTCTTTTTTAATTATCGTATAACCTACAGGCAATGGGTATTCATAACATGACATCGACAACACTTTCTTTACAAACGCGATAATGCATGTGAAAAAATTGTGTAATGTTCACTACTATTTGAAATTGATTGCTAGAATGTACGGAACGTGAGTATACGATTCGAAAAAAAAAATTGTCCACTTGCTCTCGTCTTTTTTTTAGTTACGCACTTTCAAATGTTTGGCAAATATTTGATTGTTCGATAATGTTGTGAATTTTAAAAGATATTTTTTACTTCGATTAGTGGCAGTTGTAGAGCATTTCTAACCTTATCCTCGGAACAATAATTCATGACATTCAAATGATGTTGGAGCGCGTTTTAACACGTATATGAGGATCGTTGTTGTACACAGCGGCGTCCCCAGGCTGTGTCCCCACACCAACTACCGCAATGACAAACGCGAAAAGTCACTTACCTCTGTACTTTGCCCACCGTTGCTTGATGCTCTTGGGCCATCATCGGGTAGCTGCGAATACATCGAAGCATACAAATAGCTTGGGCGATGCTCGGCTGTGCATTTCCGTATAAACTATTCGCCCAGTCGAGTATAAATCCATGTGCTTGTCCCAGTCGACGTCGATGATATTTACATATGCGCGAAGCAACCCAAGCGCATACACAATAAGCGTAAAAAAAACTGCAAGGTTATGATAAGTCGAGAACTTGGCAGTCAGAGCACTTTTTTCGAACCACCTTCAAGCCAACTCGGCGCGAACTCGTGTTGGAGGCAAAATTTGCGATTATTCCAACGTGATTTTGGTGGAACACTGCGTTTTAACCCGATGCAAAAATGGTCAAGCTTGTTGCGAGCGAGCGTATAAACAAAACAAAGCTGATTTTTCGGCCCCTAGGTGAGAGCGACTCCGCTTGTGCAGATTCTCGCTCTCTCGCTCGCTCTCTCTTTCTCTCTCTGTCTTGCACAAATGGCATAATTATCGGCTCGAAAAGCGCGAATTCGTGCGATTCAAGGGGGCGCTTGCGCACTGGCCACGGTGCCGAACGCGCAAGTTTTAGCAGTAGAATATTAGCTTGACATTCTGGGCGTCTGGCAGCTGGCCGTGCGCGTCTGGTGGAGTGCCTGTGGCAGGTATATCGACAAGCAGCCGAAATCGACGTCGAGGCTGTTGTGAAAGCTATTGGCGAAGTCGACTTTCAGCCTCGAATTCGCAGTCATGGCATTTGCTATGAGAAATGTCTTCTCGGCTATCAAGTCTTTGACTCGTGTTCAATCTCAGCCTCAACGTAAGTTGACATTGCTCGATGGAATTTGCTTATTTATTTAAACTTACCCACAGTTATGTAATGACAATATTTTGTTTTTCCATCATTTTAGGTTATATTTCTGCTTGTTCCACTCTCAGGACCGCAAAGGCTGATGAGAGACGTAAGTAACGTCAAACAAAATTCTATTTTTATTATTCACATTTGCTTTTTTACATTTTTTTGGACTAGTGTATTTTTATTTGAAAGATAAAAACCAATAAGGTGTCTCGCTTGTGTGACATTTGTTATTTTGTTCTAACTGTTCTTAGTAATGATCAAAAGTACCTAATTAGAAGAATGTTTGTAATTAATTAACATATATCATAATTAAAATTAAATGAATTTATGAAAATTAAATTGAATCAATAGAAAAAATACTTATAGATATTGACTTGTAAAATACTGAATTATCTTATTGTTATTATGAATTATTTTAATGTTTGCAGCTACCGTTAGAAGACTCGATCAAAATAAAGTCACCGAATTGACAGATTTTGGAGCATATGTAGCTGACTGTTTGCCACGTTATGTAGAAAAAGTTCAAATAGCAGCAGGTGATGAGTTGGAAATATGCATTTCTCCAGAAGGTATTGTTCCAACAATATCTTTTTTAACTTACCATCATAATGCACAATTCACAAACTTATCTGACATGACTGCGGTTGACATACCTAGCAGACCATACAGATTTGAGGTAAGAAATATAATGCTACAATGCATTTAAATATTTTTTAAATTTACTCATATTATTTCATTTTTTTAGCTTGTTTACAATCTGTTATCTATAAGATTTGCTAGAAGAATCCGTGTAAAATCATATACTGATGAATTAACACCAGTTGATTCAATTTATGAAATACATAAATCTGCAGATTGGTATGAACGTGAAGTTTGGGATATGTTTGGAATTTATTTCTCAGGGCATCCTGATTTAAGAAGAATTCTTACTGATTATGGCTTTGAAGGCCATCCATTAAGAAAAGATTTCCCCCTTACAGGATTTATAGAGGTATTTTATAATTATTTGATTTTGGCTTTTTTAATTTTTCTACTGAATGAAATGTTCTATTTTCTCTATGAAATTTTTATTTCAGGTAAGATACGATGATGAGAAAAAACGTGTTGTAGCTGAACCTCTTGAATTGGCTCAAGAATACAGGAAGTTTGAGCTGTCAGCACCATGGGAACAGTTCCCTAACTTCAGAAAAGGAAATTCAGCACCTCAACCTACTCCTGCAGAGACTGCACCAAAAAAATAAAATTTGCCGGATATTTAGAAAATTTAAAAATTTAAAGTAGCTCTAAAATCTTATTTCATTTGTTTTTCAAGCGAAAGAAGAGACTTGTTCCAGAGAATCATTGTTAAATAAAATTATCTCTTCTCTCATTTGTTAATGAGTTGAGTTCATACATTTTTAGAAAAAACTAAAAATCTGTAATTGTTTATTGTAAATAAAGTAATTTTGTATGATAATTATCATTGATATTTATGATTACTATGTACTTGTAAGTGGGTATAAGAAATTCACAAGGTTTCAAATAAATACAAGAGTATAAATAAGTTTTACGATTTTTATTAATAATGTTGAAAGACATCTGAAAATTAAAAAGTAAACATTATCAATTGATGAATGATAACAATGATTTTTTATTGAGGTTCACTCCTCAATGGCTTTGATGCCTTCTGAACCAAATAGCATATAGTGTCAGAAAGGTGGATGGGATGCCAACCCCTACCAAGAGTCCAAATCTCTTGCTTTTAATTGCTTTTAGGTGTACAAATAATAAATGCAACTAGTTTAAAATGAAACATTCGAGTACTCATATTAAAAGTAATTGAAAACAAAAGTTTGAAATCTCATCATTCAAATCTTGCCACAATGAGGCTGCAATTAAAAGACTGAGCAGAGGACTCTATACTAACCATTTAATCATCAGCAACTTCCATTTCTCCACTTTTGATTTCATCAATCAAGTCATGTGGTGGTCTTCCGTCAACAGTGCAACCAACAGATTGGCATGTACCAAGGATTTCCTTGACAGTGCCACTGAGTTCACGAGCCATAGATCTAGGCCTCATTTGTTTGGCAATGGCAACAATTTCATCATATGAAAGGTTTCCACTGTGTTTGATGTTCTTGACCTTCTTGCGGTCACGTGGTGGTTCTTTAAGAGCCTTGATGATCAGCGATGCAGCTGATGGAACAACGGCAATTGTTGCTTGACGATTTTGAATCGTCAACTCAACAGTGATCTTCAAACCTTTCCAGTCACTGGTGGCCTTGGCAATGTCATCACCAATTTTTTTTGGGGACTGTTGAAAAATTCCAAGTGTTAAAATTTAAATAGCAAGTAAGACAGTTTTTGCAAAAAAATTTAAACATCAGTTGATAAAAAATAGAAAAATAATAGAAAACATTAATTCGCGAATGAAGAAAATGCTTGAATAAATCTTAAAAATTTCGCTCGATCATGCACAATGAATTGATATAAAAAACACGTGTACAGGCACGATGGAGGAAAATTAACCTAATTTCTCTAAAAGTTTATACGAAATACAAGTTTATGATAAATGCGTGATTATTTTGTTGTACTTACCAAACCAAGTGGACCAATTTTAGGGGCAAGGGCAGAAGTAGCTCCTACTTCACCACCGACACACCTCAAGTAAACTGTAAATTTAAAGCAAGAAGATTAATAATTGAGCAAAAACGTGCTGTTGGTCTATGTTACAAAATAAACTTTCTTTAAGTAATGAATAATGTAAATATTTAAAAAAATACCTTTCTTAACTTCAGTGGGGTCGAATTTTGGAGGCATTTTGATTTATTTTTTTTTATAATAAATATAAAAAAGTAAGATGTGACTGGAATTCACGTAAGTAGCGTCCGCACTCGGTAAGCTACGATTCGAGAAGAGCAAAGATTTTGTCCTAGCCACGGCCCACGAGGCTCACTTTCAAGTGCTCCAGTGGCGCTGCCTGTTGGCAATTGTTGTTCAGTATAAGACCGGCCGGAATCTTGAATTCAAATAGCAGCTACTTTCACAGCATCTAATAGGGCTTGGTATTTTTTATTCGTATTTTGGATTTTGGATGTTTCGGAGATGATTACTTATTCAGGAATAATATGAAAGTTTATGGCAAAAAATTCTTCAAGCATTCAATATTCATATTAATTACAATACAATGTAATTTATAAGGTTTTAGTTTTAAAAAATAAATGTATTAAACGGAAGTTACTTTTTTTATTTTGAATCTAATCTAATTAGATTAATTATTAGGCTTAAAATTAGATAATTTTGATAGATATCACAATGACGAAATATTTTTTTTTTAGAAATTGGATTCCTGAAAAAAATACCATTATTAGTTATATGACTTGAAATTGAAACCATTTGAAAGAATAGAATCACTTATTATTATGCAATTATCGCGGTTAAAATAGGAACTGATCGATTTATTTATTTATGTTATATGAGGAAAAATTATTTAAGCGACTTACTTAATACAAATAGTTGATGATACAGAATATTCAAAAACTGAATAAAATGAAATTCTCATTTACATAATAATTAAATACGTGTAATTAGTTTAAAAATTTGATTGTTGTGTTTTTCTGAAGACGCAAAGTAAAACAAGTAATAGTGAAAAGACTGCATTCAATTTTTTCACGTTTTCTGACGATCCAAAAAGAAAAATTGATCAATAATATATCATGTAAAACTTTTGGAACTTTCGGTGATAAGAGATGTAAGAATAATCATTTTATTGAAACATGATCGACAAATATTAATTTTACCTCAGTTCACTTTTCAATTTCGTAATTAATTCGTTAATGCTTAAATATGCAATTGTGCAAGTGAGAAAGGAAATAATAAACGTATCATATGTACATCTTTATAAAAACATTTATTCGTTATGACAGAATAAACTTTTATTACAAATTGTTTTATTTATTCAACAAAATATTTAATTAACTTTCACTCAGCACTCAAAGTATTTACAATTGGATAAGTCGCAATAAATTCTGGGCAAAATGAAAAAAAGAGGCAAATTTTAAAAAAAACGAAGGGAATTTTTTTCTCAAATTTCACTTGGAATGTAGAACGAAACACTAACATTTTTAATTTTTCTTTACAATCTTACAGTTGGAACATAGCAACTGAAGATTTTAACATCAAATTACAAAATCTGGAAGCAACTCGTACATTCCTTGGTTGTTTATAGTTTACTATCACAACACATGAATAATAGTTTTCAAGAGTATTTGTAAAAAAGTTTATTTAAAAGAAACTTTGTAAAGATTGTACTTAGATAGAAAAATTTTATATTACCTACATAAACAAAGTTTGATCACATGTCAGATGTTGTGATTTAAAAGTAAAATTACCACTTATAAGATACTTGTAAGTGGCAGAGATGCATCAATCTTTCTCACAAATGTTATAAATTTTACATCTTATTTATAATTATTTTCTTATTGCAACAACATCAGTATAAATAAAACTGAATTCAGTCATCAGAGCCAACTGCTCTTTTGGCTTTCCTTTGCCTTGGGCTTTGTCTGGGAGTTTTTGGTGATTTGTCTATAAAAAAAAAACATCAACATTAATGATGAGAAATTGCAATATACTTGTTATATGAACTTATTGCTCATATACTCACTGAGCATGTTTAAGGTCTCTTTAGGAATCCATTCATAATCAACATTGTTAGGGTTAGTAGTTCCAACTTCAACGGTTGCTTTTCTGACAGAGGGACGTGATTTTCTTCCAAATGACGACAAAAGTTGTTGTCCACCAACAAGACCAAGAACAACACAAGCAGCCAAAAATATGTACAAGAAAACAGTTTCTCCGTCAAGACCTTCATCTAATTCAATTATGTTGACAGTCTCATTGAAGACAGCTTCACTGTATGATAGACCATTCTGCAAAAAGAAAATGTTTCCAAAGTCTTATTATATGAATATGTACTTTTTTTTTAATGTTAATGATAGAAACTTACAATATCTTTGTAAGCTAAGTTAATGTTTAGTCCAAATGGCCTTCCAGCAAAAGCTTCTGAAGGAACAAATGAGTAAGCAATAGTAGCTTCGTGTTTGGGTTTCACAACTTTATTGTAAGCAATGGTTGAGAAATTTTGAATGTAGAAGTTATAATCCATGGGATAACGGAAAGAGGTATCAACAGTTTCTACCACATAATCAACTTCTCCTTTGTTTGTGAAGCCAATCAAAAATTCAACAGGCTTGCCAGCAGGAAGATCTGTAAAATTAAAAATTCATAATAATTATTCTAATTAAAACAAAAAACTTTTATTAATAAGATATTGATGATATTTTAAACCATAAATAAATAGATATTCAATAAATTACCAAGAGTTGATAAGGCGTTATGAACTGGTTCCACAAAGAGAATTGTTGTATCTATATCTTTTGAAGCAGTCGCAGTAGAATCTTCTTCGGGTTCTTCTTCTGTAACTATAGTGCTTTCTTCTCCTTCGACATCAATAATATCGTTGACATCATCCTCTTGAGCATAAGCTAATGGCCCTTTACCTGATGATCAATAATCAATATTTAATTAGATTTAAACAATATAATTAATACATATTTTAAATATTTAATAAATAATATTAAGGATGTATAATTTTTATCACAACAAGCCAATATAAAAATTGAACAATTGAAAACTTTCTTGATAAATAAAATTGTATTCCATGGTAAATATAGTAAATTTAGCGACAATCTGGGAGAGAGAGGCGAGCCAAAAAAAATATAACAGTAACAGAAGCCAGACTGCTCCGAATTACTTGAGATCATTTGGCAACAGCTGGGCTCTTATTTTGACAATTTAGGATTCTTCAATGAAAAAAAAAACTGGATGATTTTCAAAAATAATCAATACGCATTTTCTACCATATGCTTTGTTTTGCTCAATGGATATGACAAAATTCGATGGATTTCATACAATATTTTGCGAAGAAAAGATGTTACGGGAGAGAGTGTTCACGTGTCACCGAGCCATTTGGCGTGCATGTTGGAAAGTGCGCTAATTTATTGTTATAAAATTATAAACATTTAGCCAAAAAGAAGTGATTGAACTGGCTTGTAAACAAAATAATTAATAATTCACGAACGCCACGTCATGGTTTAAAAGAAGAGCCGCAAACACGATGACATCTGGTACGCGTACAGAGTGCAGAAATGCGTTGGTTATTCTTACCTGGACTAGTGATAAGGATTACAGCCGGCAAGGCGATGAGCAGCAGCAGCAGGAAATTTTTCATTTTTGTGCAGGTGTTTTACCAGCGACTATTGTTTTTGTTTGTCCACGTAATTTCGACGTCACGCAGATGCCGAACGAACAAAATGTACAAAAATGGCCTGGCGATATGTCGACGACTATATAGCGACGACACGGCTGCTACTGTCTGTGCTTGTGCTTTGCTACCTCGCGGCTGGCGGCCTATTTTGCCGTTTCGAGTCGCGGGGATAGCCGTACGTGTCCGGCAAGTATACTCGTCTCCGGTCTTGCTCGTCTCTTGGCTGCGGCGTGCTGGTGGCGCTACGCTATACGCGTCATTCGCCAATCCCTCGCCAAATCCTCGAATCAGACGCAAGCCATGCCGAGTAATCTCAAATCAGCCACGTTCAGACCGCAGTGCGAATATTTCGCTGCAGCAAAGCGACAAAACGCCAGCCAAGCGCGCCTAAATTTGAACTCTTCTCTTTGAGGACTTTACCATTTAATTAATAACATAATGCCATCCAATATTCATTATTGAACATTAACTGTTTTCAACACATCTTTTCAAGCAAATTTAACATCAGAGAAAATCACCAATGCTTTATTCAGGTATAAAACATAAACTAATGACCTTCATGGCAAAATTTCAAAACAAGCCGTTGCTAGTTGATTGGCACATAGTTTCCTCTTCAAAAAGTATAACTCATCTGCCAATTTTTGCCCCATAGCGGAAGATGTGTGACAGGCTTGAAAATGAGATTTTGAACTAGGCGTAAAAAAATTTGGTTTATATATCTGGAAACTACATTGAATTTCCAACAAATGTCTGTATGTACGTTCGCTTTTTAAGCTTTTTGGCTAAGATAGTTGAGTAGTAAGCATGGACTCGGAATGCAATTTTCAATTGAAGATTTATAATTAATTAATCAATAATGAAAGTTTAGTTTGTTTCTAATAGTGGTCAATAAGTAAAAAAAACATTTTTCAATGATGAAGCTCGAATTTATACAGTTGTTTTTGTGTCCCAGAGGACGAAAAATCATGTATTCCTCGAATTTCGTAAAAAAGAACGAGTCTTACATATAAGAATTGAGAATATGCTTCGACAAGAAATTCCAGCTGATCGATTGCAACGGCATCCCCGAATTTCCGAGCAATTGCAAACGCAGCGACAAAATAATCTATCCGGCCTGTCCACCAGAATTAATCGCTCCACCGATGGTTAAACAAGTTTGACGCGCGCTTGCCAATATCATCAATATTAATCGAGTGCGAGAGGCAGTGTCGGATTTTTTTCATTCGCACCATATCGAATCGCACTGATTCATTTGACGTTTTTTCCTATGTAAATAGTTGGGATGTATGCGAGAGCCAAAAATTATTTTAATCAACTTTGTTTGCGCATCAATACATTTTTTATTCATAAATTGTGCTCTACATTAAACTTGTGTCATTCATTTCGTCCACGTTAAATTTGAAATGACGTTTATTGCTCTTTTTACAAGGTCCTGTGTCGAGTCGAAAAGATTGGCAGAGTCTCGGTAGCTTTTTAAATATATTGCGCAGCTTTGATTCATTTTTTGGTACATCTGGCTTACCGCGAGTCAGTTATACTAAAAAGCTACAAGCTCGAGCCGAGTATTTCATTAGAGCGAAAAGCAGCCAGTCGCAAAGTAGTCGAGCTAATGAAACTGCCCCACCGAGTTGAAAACAAGGAGCGTATATTTACGTGAGTATATTTTGCCACCCACCGAGCCAAGCTCAAATAAGTCCATTAGAATTGAGAAGTCGAAAGGTGAGTCCACAAAACTACCGAGCAGAATAAATAAAATAGATTTGCGATTTTTCAATAAAAGCGATTTGTTCGACCATATTTTTCAATGGAACATGGAGAATATGTATCCCAACGGCATTAGCTCGTTGTTTAGTCTGATATTTATTATACACCAACAAATTCACACACTCGAGTACATATGTTACCTATAGGTACACGAGGATGAGTTCTGATTTCCCTGCAGATTACCCTCGGTGTAAATATGATGTATCGACGCGAAGGATGTGCCGCCTTACCTTTTGCTTTCGCTCGTTTGTGACCGATATTTTGGTTTCTACATCAAATTGCCAGTCGTTATGAATTTTCATACAATGTGCTGTGATTATTGGAACATATATTTTTTGTAAATTGAAACATGCCACATTTTTTGAAGGATATTTTTTACTTTATTTTAATTTGAAAAAGTAAATTAAGCATTTCAAGTCAATACGAGAACAATTTTTCAATTAATTACAATTCTTCTATGGATCTGCAGAATCGATCGGTCTGTCCCTCTTCCGATGTAGATGATCATCCAAATAGACTGCCTGGTGCAATTCCAAAAGTACTTCATTTATGAATGAATCACCACATATGGAGCATTCGTAACCTCGAGCACGAGGTCTTTCTTGATTGTTAGAGGCATCCTGACTTGATTCCTCAGAATTGTTGATCGTTGATTGTTCTTCACTGTTGGTTTCTACTTTTGAATAAGGAAATTGCATACTCTCCTCATTCAACCGATCTACTTGTTCATTCGCTCGTAAAATTTCATGCATACTGATCCCTTGGGCGAGGATATTCTTTGATTTACGCACTCGATCTATCAAAACTTTTTGATATAAATTATCATCAAAACCTACATCACCCCCCCAATAGTGTAGTTTTCTGTCGTTTGGATAATTGGTGGGATACATTTCCCTTCTCCTTTCATATGCATCGGGAATGCCAGGGAACTTAACTTTACCTAAAGTCAGACCACATAGATCATCCTTTGTATCATTCGGATCATCTTCAGTGATTAGACCCTCGAGGTGTTGATGTAAGTTTTTGAGGGCCAATTTATTAAGCTTATGGTCATACTTCAATAACGGTTTGGTTTCTTTCAAGTGACTTGGAATTTGGTATTCATTACTGAAAGAACCTCTGACTTTGGTCCAAATTTCGATGCCACGCTCACTCCTGACATGAATGATCAAGTCGTTGGAAAACAACTCGTAGGGTTTTTTTAAGATTTTAGTTTTTCCATCATCGTTCTTTGAATTATCGATAAGTGATTTGATAAAGATATCCTCACGAGTCTTTGGGAGTTCTGAGCCTAGTTGATCTTCTGATTTAACGTTGTTGGCTTTATTTACCAAACTCGGAGTGTCAGTATTATTGCATAATTGAACATTACCATGGTTGACGTCATCATTTCTTTCAGAACCGGTTCTGGGTTCGCACTTTTGATTTTTCAAAATTTCATATTTCTTTGGGGTAGTTGAAAATTTCCGACTTTTATGATATAGTTCAAACACCGAACTTTCGACACTGCTGCATCTATTAGGTTTATATTCATCGAGCATCCTATCAAAACAGATTTCATTTTGATTTGTTCTGTACGCGTTCGTTCTTTTCATTTTCTAAATGTGTGAACTTGTAGGGCGAAATGTCAATGATCGAGGTCAAATGGCCGTGATAAGCACTGAAATAGCAAAATAAATAAGAAAATTAATGCATGCATTGTTGGGATTAAAATTTTAGGAAATTTTTCTATACAATATAGAGTCTAGTAAGATCCGCTGAAAAAAATAGGTACTCACGTAAAAGAAACTGAAAACTTAAATTAAAATAATTTTCAATTGCTATACTAAAAGATGAAATTTCGATATGTAAAATAATTCTCTCAAAAACTTTAAATGAGAATAGCACAAGGATCTTGACGTCTCGACACGTCACAAACTATCATCTAAGCGGTGGACGCAGCTAAGCTCGCGGCTCTTGCGTGACATAAAATTTAAAAAACGCTCTGACAACCAAAATTTCCAAGTTCATTGAGAGACATAAGAGAGTCATTTTACTCCGTCAATGCTACTGTATGTACTTGCATGTTTTATGTAGTTTCTATTCAAGTCCTCGATTTGTTTTTTTTTACGCAAGAAATTTCACGCAAGACTCGATGATTATCGAGAATATGACTTTTTCAATAATTCCTTTACACTTCTGAAGCAATAACTAGCAGACATTTTTTCAAATGAACATTTTTCCAAAGCATTATATCATTCTTTTTTGTTAATTAATTTTCGATTGAAAGGACATGAAAAATATTGTCCTTGAAATGAAATCTGCTGGTGCTGATCTTCCATAATATTTTTTAAAATATTGATTCATTTTTTCTTAAATTTTTAACCAATTTTTTTTAAGGTTTTTTTATGATTTAATCGATCAAAACCTTATAATATATTGTCTGTTCATTTTCGAAATTATAAGTAATTATAGATTTTAAAAATTATATCAAATCAATTAAGTTATCTATTATTTTTTAATACAAAAAAACATCAACGCAACTCAAAAGGTTATGTGACGTCAGGAGATGTCACGGTTGCAATGACATTAATTGTCTCGAAACAGTGATGTCATTATGAAGTTATTTACATGATCATTTCGGTATATTATTTGTATTGAAAAGGAATTTGGCAATCAAATATGTTATTATCATGATATTAATGGAAAATAAGAAAAATAATTAAAAGTAGTTTTTTAAAAGTAAAATAATAAAAACATTCTCATTTTCAACTTACAATGTTGAGCTGTCAGTTGGTGTACTACAGAAATAGACAGCTGGAGGCGTCGTGGCACGGAGGCAGAGAAACGTACACTGTTCTTCTCTGGTTCGAGTCACGTACACGATTGATTAAAAACTCCGTTACAATTAGATCTTCGATCTAAAATTTTATGTGGAGGGGAATAGGCGGTTATAAAAACTATGGGAACTTTCTCTCTTTGTCCGCACCGCGAGCTGACGGCAATTTGTCTATATATACATATATGAGAACTAAAATAATCTCGATTGTTCGTTCTTTTTATGGAATATAATAATTCATGTTGTTACTAATAGGTTGATACATATTATAAATAATAAAAGTAAAATCAAAAATTGCAGTTTGTAAAACATGGGAGATAAAATGTTCGAAAGACAGTGAGCTATCTCTTACTGCATTTTGAATGTAGTTGAAAAAAGACTTTGAGTTGCTAGTTTATAAAATTATGGTTGTTCATAGTTAGTGTAATTATTTGGAATTGATCATTCATGGAATCACACAATTTATTTCACTTTTTATGACCACGCCGGGACTAAGGGGTTTGGCCACATTAAGCGGTTGGCCATAATATATGGCGGAAAAAATTTATTCAATAATAAAAAATAAAATTTATTCAATAAAATTTAATCATAAAAAAAATTTGGTTCACTTAGCCAAAATACATCAAGCACATCAAGAGGGACAGTAATCATAACTAAAAATGACTGAAAAAAAATTGATTGTTTAAACGTGTACCCGTACTACAGTAATTTGTTTATCAAAATGTAACATACACTGTTGCAAAGTACTCTTTTTAACAAGTAATTTAAAAAAAAATAGAGCTCTGTACGACTATTTTTCCACCCTGTAGATCGTTTTCAAGGTATCATTTAAAGTACGCAAAATGTCCAAGAATCGAGTCGATTTCAGCTCGAGGGATTTTACGTACTTTAAATGGTACTTTCAAAACGACCAGCAGGACGCAAAAATTACTCGTTGAAAACAGTACTTTGCAATAATGTATGTTAGATTTTGATCAACTAATTACTGTAGTCTATGGAAACGTTCAAACAATCAATTTTTATAAGTAATTTTTAGTTTTGCGCTCAAACACTACTAGTAACTCGATATTTCGACTTAAACCCATACATAATATATATGGATTTAAAGAGGACAAAATTGAAAAAAAAAAATTGAAAAAAATTCGTCCCGGTACGATCAAAATAGGCGTAGATAGAAGCATTTTCACATTTGCGTGACGACAAAGACATTCAACAATATCAGACCCTGTATGAATGGTACATTTTAAATAAATTCGATGGTGAACTTTTTGTCAAAAGAAAACACTAAAATACAACTTTTCCGCAAATTGAGGATGCGAAAGAAATATTTCTCACTTTTTATTCATTTTTTACTGCGTGACGACATAAGACATTTATTTACATAAAAGTCGTTTTAGTTCGTTCTTACACTGTACAAATCGGTTCATGATGCGAATGAAGTTCGGACGACCGCGCGAAAAGATATCAACATATCATAGTTTGAAAATATACTCTTTAGACCGCGGACGAGTGGCGCACACACATTGGGTCTGAAAATCGAACATTTTTCATGGATATTATTTAAACTGCTATAATGACCGCTAAAAAAATTTTATCTCTGCTGGAAATATAAAAAATACTTCATTATTGAGCATCATATGAGTCAAGAATCAAGGACAATCAGAGAAAAATCATGTTTCTTGACTCATATGATGCTCAATAACGAAGTTTGTTTGTCTGCCGATAACCAAAATTCATCAGTTTGATGTATCAATGAACATATCACAATATTGGCCTAATCAAAGAAGATGAACACATTTATTTTTGGACATCTATACCATTAATAGCTGAAAATATCATTTTTATGGGTTTTGAAGATGTAAATATAATTTACAAGTAAAAATTTGAATTCTACATCAAATTTTACATTGTTACCTATGATTCAACAATTTTTTCATATTAATATCTGGAGGTTAATTAACCTCCAGAGAATCAGAATTGCAAGCAGAATGTCACTAGAAAAAAAAATTCAACTTTAAGGTCCTGAAAATCCAATAGGGTTGGATCTAGAGGGCTGAAACTTACAGGATTTTCACTTTCCAATGTACTCTTCAAAAGTACATAATTCAAGAAAAAAATTTTTTTAACCATCACGCTAGCTTAACCCATATATTTTGGAAGCTTTTTCATTTATTAGTTTTAATCTATTTGCTGAATCTTTACTATAAGTTCTGGTACTCGACTTTTCTTTGTTACTAACTGAACTTGAACTTGCAGAGATATTTACTAGTTTGTTTTTAGAATTGTAATACTTATTATTAAGTTAATTGGTTTGTCTTGTCAGTAATGTTCTGTTGTTGACTGATTAAGGCTGAACTAGGATTACCAGAAGCCCCAGATGAATGGCGAATATCCTTGTTCAAGGTTACCTCTATAAAAATTTCGCGGTATCCTATAGGAAATTTTTATGAGGGTAGAGTTGTAACAGTTGCATAGGTGATGTAGATGATGGAGGTGGAGGTGATGTTCTTTCTTGAGTTGAGATTTGATGGTACAACTTGACTGTTTTGACTTGTTGTATTTAGATGAACTTTAGTAGGTGTGGGCTACTGAGAGTATTTGAGACCCCCTAGAGGGTTATTTTAGAACAGAGCTGTAAGTATCCATTGTAGCATTTCTTGAGACGTTCTTGAGTTTGGGGAAAATTTCTTTTGTATTTTTGGGTGTGGAATGTTTGTTAAAGATAAGCTGTCTAGCCTCGAAGTAGGAGATATTTTAGGCCATTTTAATATTTACCATGTCATGCTTTTTGTAAATTGAGCATTATTTGTCAGTAGATTTGTGGGGTTCTTTGCAATTTGCACATCTTGGAGTGGCACCTTGACATGTTACACCGTCATCATGCTTCTCTTCGCCACATAAGAAGCAACGAGCTTTGCCTCAACAATCCTTGGAAAAGTGAGTAAATGAAAGGCACGGTATAGTTTTTCTAACATAAGGTACAACTTTGGTTATAACGTGAAAGATGAAGACTTCTTTGGGCAGTATGTTTCCTTCAAAACTGATTAAGACGGACGTGGTAGGAATCCACTTTGCTTCTTGAGAAGTAGCACCTTGTTGTTTGTTACGTCTGTTTAACCTTATAATTTGGTTTATACTGGGAGTGCATTTGATGTTTAATTTAAGCTCTTCTAGCTCAATATCTAAGGGTATACCTTTGATGACATCTTTGCGAATTTTTTGAAGCCTGGAATGAAGGTGACAAGACCATGCTTTTCAAAGTTTCCATCTTTGAGGGAAAAATTAGCCTCGTATCTGTCTGAAAATATAATTACACCTCTTAGTTTAGGCGCTGAGGGGGTTTCGTATGCATTGCAAGGTCCCACAAAAAACGAAGTATATTTCTACGTATTTTGACCCACTGAATCCGAATTTTCAACTCGCTCATACGATCGAGTAATTTGTTATAAACAAATTAATTGTTTGTACGGCTATAACTCCTAAACTATGAATTAGTCACCGCCAGGTATCGTCGACGCGGATCGTCGCTCGCGCATTAGAATAAGACTAGTTCGAGGCATATAAGAGAGGCGATCACCCGGCATATATGTATTCTAGCGAAAGCTGGTAGCAGGTGCACTGCTCGCTCAAGTTTGGCGGTTGAAGAAGACTTATCTTTTAGTCCGCTGCGAGCTCGAGAAGTGGTTGGTAGAAGATTTGACGGCTTCTAGAGTTGACTGTTGAAGGAGGCAACCCCTTGAGTGATTTACACAAAAAGTATTCCAAATTGAGCTAAGATGCCTGATTCAAAAACTCGTTTTTGAACCCATCACCGAACTTGTTCATGGTGGAAGCAAAATTGTTTTATTATTTATTTAATGACTTGATTATCAAAATGTAGTTACATTTAAAATTAAAGAGGCAGAAATAGATGGAAGATTTTCATAATGTGAATCACAACTGATCGATTGCGGCTTTATTAATTTTTTTACAAACTATAAGTCATGCAATAGATTTTGAAAATTCTTTGTACACGTACTCGATTGCTGAACAGTTTATTTGTAAAACGGCAGTCTTGTAGCATTGATGTATAATTAAGTTTAATTAATGGAGCATTTACAGTAATATTTTAATGATATAAAAAAAGATAAATAAATAAAATTCACACTAATAAATATGAATGATTCTCTGTAAACTTAAGCTGACGCTTTTCTACAAATATGAAAAACTTGTTGTTTTCGATGTCAGAAATGTCCCGGAATTTTAGTAGAGTTTTTGGGATTGTTCATTACCTTTTCTTGAGAGGCGTAAAGTTGTATTTTTTCCAATATTCACGATTATCGCAAAGATTAAAATAATTCCTGGCTCAGTATGGAGCGACTTAAACGAATTAATATATAGGAATTTTTTTGAAAAATGCTGAAACTTTAAAAAAGACACTATGTTAAAGTTATCTGATTACTCTAGAGGCTTGTACCATAAGAAGAAACACAAAAATCACAACTTAATATAGTGTGATCCGGACTTTCATCTTCGAAAAGATTTACAGAGCTTTTTCAAGTCTAATATTTTTCAATATCTCATACTGTCTCATGAATTTCTGTAATAAATAACGGAAAAATGTAAAAAAGTGGAAAAAAATTCGGAAAGGGCTATTTTCTGCTTTTGAAAACAAAAAGCTCTCATGTACTTTTTCGTTTAAGTCACTTTATATATATATATACGAAGCTAGAAATTATTTTAATACTTGTGATAATCGTGAATTTCCATAAAATTCCAACTTGGGCCTCTCAAAGAAGACAATAAGCGGTCGCAAAATTTTATCCAAATTCTGGGACATTTTTAAATGTCAAACAATATATCCATCGTATCGGATACACAAAAAAAATTTGACCCGTTGAGTTGACAGAAAATCGGCTATATACTCAGCTAACCATAAATTAATTAACATTTATAATAATATCTAAAAATTATGTAATGCTAAGAATAATGAAACAAATTTCTGTAATTCCTTAGTTTCACCCTTTACTTGGGGGTGCTGCAGTAATTGCGAATGATGTATACTTCGAGGACGCCCAATTCAAATAGTTAAAGTATTCAAGCCAAGTTGAGAATTAGAATTTTCGATGTTTAATAGTTACAATGCTTAAAGAATGTGCAGTAATTAACGGTGTTTTGCCTCGGCGAAAATTGACGACATTCTTTTGTACAAAGGCGCAAGTGAATTATTAATAACGCTACATCTAATTTCTATAGAGCGGCTGTGGTCTTCTCGATTGTTTCTTGCCCATACTGCTGAGATCGATGGTCCTACCGTTAGGCAAGACGAGCTTATTCTCCTGATAATCAACGAACGTGTTGAGGATGTCCTGATCCTGCTGCTGCTGCTGGGACTCGTCATCGCACTTGATGCCCGTCTCGTAGGTGTACTCGCGCCTGAGGCCGTCCGGGTCGACGTAGCCGTACTTGCCGCGGGTGATGCAGTCGATGCCAATCATCTCCTCCTTGAACGAGCCGTCGTCGTTCTCGAAGCCCCAGACGATCGTGCCGTCGGGCCGCTCCTCGTTGTAGCGGCGTATCACCTGCCATCGAAATCAATTTTTTCAGTCACGCACGCTGCATTTAAGCGAGCTCGCAATAATAATAGCTGTCCAATAGCTTACCTGTGCCACGGGCTTTTTAGTTCTTCCACCTTCGCCGTAGTACTCCTGTGGCTTGGACTTTTTCGGTACAGCAGTGGGCCTCGGCTTGCTTATCACCGGTCGGCTGTTCTCATTGAAGTCGTACTCGTTTCTCGACGTCAGCTGTTGCTGCTGTGGCTGTTGCTGGTGATGATGCTGGTGCTCTCGGTGTTGCTGCTGCTGCACTTGGTGGTGGTGCTGTTGTTGCTGTTGTGGTTGTTTTTGCAATCTTATCGGTTTTTGCGGCTTGTACTGAACAGGTGTTATGATTTGATGAATCTATGATATTCCGGAAGTAAAGATAGTGTTCGTAACTTTATAAATAGATAAATGAGCTGGCGGGGTGCGTACATACCTGCGGTTCGACTGGCGTACTCTGAGGCTGAGGCCTCTGAATGGGTCGGTACTGCGGTGCCGGGGGCAAGGACTGCTGCGGATGTTGGTTATGCTGCTGCTGCTGCTGCAACTGTTGCACTTGCTGCTGGTGTTGCGCCTGTAGGTAAGCGGTCAAAGTCGGCGTCGGCGAGGCTATCGTCGGGCTGAGGAGATTTCCAGTGAAGGCGTTGCCGGACACGGCCCCGAGGTTCGCGATCACCTGGACGACGTCCTCGTCCTTGTCGTGCTCCTCGTTGACGGGCTTGAGCTCGTTGAAGGCCGAGGCTGCCTGGGGCGAGTGTATCGACTGGGCGTGAACCAAGTGCGGCTGCTGGATAGTTTGGATCGGTAGCGAGGCCGCCTCGTCGTTCTGCTCGTAGCTGGACAGCGGCACCGGCGAGGTCGACACCGAGATCGGCGTCAGCCGGGGTGGATGGGAGCCTCTGATACCCGACGTGAACACGGGCAGCTCGGGAATCGGTTCCGACGTTGGCCGAGCTTTGCTGTTTTCGCCACGACAACACAACCAGTTATTATTCATGCATTTTGTCTGGTTAATTATTGAAATTTATATTTTTAAAATCAACAGCTTTCTAGTTGTTTTAAATAATAATTCAACGTGCGGGAATCGATAGACCAAGCTTTAAAGCGGAAATTAATTTTTTTTACTCTACATTGCCTATATTTGTTTATTTATAAAATTGGAACTTGGACTTATTGATAAACATTTTTGAAAATATTTTCGAATCATAATTTAAAGATTGTTTCAACTGATGCTCTTCTGAATTGACTAATTTTTGGCCTAGTGAACATTTAATACATGTTTTTGATAACTTGAGATCCCTTTTATTTCAAGATTCGACATTTTTTTCTCGAAAATTGTATAAAATAGCTTCTGATCTATTACAAGTTGATCTCAGCTAGAACATAAGAGGCCAAATGAATTTTCCTGCAAGTTTTACGCAATAAGATAGAAAACATAACGGTTCACGATCCCGATTCAATTTCGATAATGGTATAATTAAAATCATCGATTAAAACGAATTTTCATCGAGCAGCATGCTTTTTACATTCGCTTTCGCACTTGAGTCTGTAAAATTAGACGCGCCGATAATGCCAGCAATTAGGGTCCGCCAACTTACTTGACCGTTATCGGGCGTCGGAATCGCTGATTCGCTACTGACGTCTGCGGGGCACTGTTGCTAAATCGCGAATTCGACTGGTGCTGTGGCGGCTGCGATTTGTATCGTCGTATAGCCGGCGACTTTTTCGGTAAGCCAGCCTCCTCGCTGCTGCTGCTGTATTGACCCAGAGCAGAGCCCAAGATGCATATCAATATCTGCAAGGAGAAAAGATACGATTTTCAATGTATAAGCATCACACGCAAACACACGATGTGTACCATAAATGTATTCATACGGGATCGGCCCATTACACAAGCCGCGCATATATCACATCAATTGAATGACCGATAAGCTCGAGTCATTGTATATGTAATGCACTCTTACTCTCGATACAGGTATGTTCGTAGCTATTTTTTATCCTCCACGCGAAAACCCGTAAATCAGCATCAACTATTTGAAAGTGCATGTAAGCTTCCTAGATCTACATGTGCATGTGTGTGCGTGTGTTCGTGTGTTTGTGTGTACGTAGAAAGCAAAAGTATGCACGTGGAGATTCGTGCTCAGAGACAAATGAAATTTGAGATTCGCGTACGATTCAGGGCGTAAAAACGTTAGAAAGTCCGCGATGTTTATAAAATATGAAAACTGCGCGAGTTAATGAAAACGGCGCTTCGTATGCAGTGGCGTCTCTTCTTGCGTGCGCGAGATTCTCTGGCCGCAAGCGCGCCAGAAATCGATCATAACACTTACAAATGAGCTCGAGACACGGAGCAGCTGCAAATATCAAGATTTGAAACTTTCGGTGACCAAGTGACATCGCTGTACTCCAGTCTACGTGTTATGTATCGTGAGCTAATGGATCCTCTTTCGAAATGATCGATGAGATTTACGCACTTTTGCAAAAATCCATTTGATGATTCGACAAGTTTGAGCTCGATGAAAAATGACACTCTCTTAAACGATACACGTTGCTCGCGGAGTTACGCGCGCGTGAGGTAGAAAAAATGAATTAATTGTAATTATTTTGTTTGGAGCGGCAAATTTAAACTCAATCGCTCCGTTATGAAGCCATATAATAATTTTTTACATCGTTCATTGCACTCTCACTCGCACTGACTAAGCGCCTATGCATAAGAGAGGCCCGCTCAGCCAAGTGCATACATATTTTTTTACTAACCATCGTTTCAGAGATTTCTCTCTGACGCTTTTTTAAGTATCGTAGATGAACAAACGGAGAATTTCAATTTTCTCGGGTATATCTTTTTTTTAATTGCGTGTGTGCATTATCATAATATGGAATATAAATACTGCACTGACGCCTTTATTTGCACATAGCGATCCCGAGAGAAAATGTAAGCTGCATCCTCACGCTTTGCTGAAGTTCAAGGTCTAACGAGCATCCGGCGAGCGTTTGATGTAAGATTAATTTTATCCGCGCCTTTTCTACTTTTCCTTTTGCACTCGCCTATCAATCGTAAATCAATAATAAACATCTTCATGCATTCATCGAATTAACGCGGAGGGCTTGTGAATTGATTGCTCCCGACTTTCTGACACTCGCGCACACGCGTGGCTTTCTTGTATTTAATCGCAAAGTGTGCGTGTTGAATTTGTCGCGAAGAGAAAATCTCGAGTGGCGTTCCGACTGTTATTCATGCGCCCGACATGCTCTCGAGTTCACATTATAAAATAATTGATCGATCATTGTTAGTTGAAAGCAACAAGTCGACATCTGCATGTAGTCTCTCAATGAAAATTATAAATTTATACGTTCATGAGCTTGTGAAAAATATGTGCTAGGCAAACTCGTGAATTAAAATGAAATCGAACGTTTCACGCACTATATACAGTTTTAATAGTATTTATATGAACTTTACGTGTCTATAGACATTTTTATCGCACCAGAATCATCGTTTTTTATTTAGTTTACTGACGCGTTTACGTGAAACTCAATTCACGACGAGTTATTTACATTTTCGTTATAAAAATCTTTAATATTATATATTAATTATGTAGATACAATCAACAGCTAAACAAAAACTCCACGTCAATTTTTTACCAATTAGTTGCGTGTAGTATTTTTTGAAACATCACCAACATCATATATCATATTCACGATTTCAATAAAAGGTTCGTTTATGACTCGAGCCTTGTGACCTCGCATAAATTGACCGAAGAACATAATATTTGGTATGAGCGTTATGTTTCCCTTTGAAGCAAAAAACTTTTTGTTCAATTTTTTTTTGCAGGAGTGGCGCACAAGAGCGCATCATGAGAGACCTTGATGCCTTGGTAGTACTTCGATGCACTTTTTGTTGTCTGATGTGTCGGTGAGATGCTTTTTTGTCTCACTAACCTTGACCGACGTCGGCGCGTTTGTATGGTAAATAAATAATAATTTATGCAAAAAAAAGACAGACTTTTTGCCAGTCTATTGAAATTTAAACTACACTTCCTTTCGTGCAGCTGCAAGACTTCACGAGAATGCAATTAATTCGAGTCACATCAGATTTGAAAGTAGCTGTTGCAGTAACGAGTCCAGTACTCGCACGAGTAGTTCCGAGAAATTTTATTGACTATATGTGTAATGAGGATGCAATGGTTTATCTCAACGATTCGTTTTTTGATACGCTTAAAATCAAATTGAATGTGTTTGCGTTATTAAAGCATAATGATGCAAAAGAATTTTTAGCCCGATAAATTTGTATGCACTGGCTTCGATTAATTATTTACACATTCGATGACGCACATAAATTCAGCTATTGAAACCGCAGAGCTATTCTATGTCGAATTTTTAATCGTAGGTGGAACAAAAGCGAGCTGCAAATTGTTGTTTCGCGATGTGCGACGTGCACTCCTATCTCTTTCTCAACACTTTTTTCAACGATACGTCTGACGCAATGTGCCACGACTTTTAAGAACGAGCTTTTTTCGCATTTTTTGAGCTAACAAAAATTTTATAGATAACTGATTGAAAATTCGAATTTCTTTGGAGCGTTTTAGTAAATCATTTTTGTAAGTCTTGTCGAGTACGAGCGTGACTGGTTTGGGCCATAAAAAGTATTTATGAGTTTCCTCACGGTGCCAAAGCGAATTTTATAAATGTCCGATTTTATTTTGCAGGTAAGAAAACCCTTGATAAGCTTGCAACAGAGAATACGGAGATTCATACTAGTTGTAAAAGTGAAATAATTTACGAAAGAGATGATCCTTTTTGCGAATAAATCACAATGAACAATAAACTCGTTAGTGCATAGCGAATCAATGGCGCACGATATCGATATTTCACTGCGGATATTTACGGCGAATTTAAGCGATGATTCTCTGAATTTTCATTATAATGAAAGTTCATTATTGCATGCTATTACGGATCATAATCTAAATTTGACATTCCATCTTCTGTCTTTTAAATTTAGCGAACAATTGAAAAGTTTATTCAAACAGTTTACAGTACATAATCTGACGATTCTTCTCAATTTCGATGCATTAATCTAAGCATGAATGGCTATTATTTATGCTTGTGAAATATTTAAGCTTCCTAGTTGTCCATCTTGAGTCAATGAGAGACTTCTCTAGTAATTTCTCTTTAATATTATGTAAGTAAATTAATTAACAAAATAAAATGTCATTGTTAATACACTTTTTTCATTCTATAAAATATTGATAGCATTTCAAATTATGAAGTATAATTAATGAACCAGCATTTTCTATGAAATTTGTTATGAAATTTTCGTATTTATTGTTTTGTCTTTATCTCTCAACTGTAATTATATAATGATATAGTTTTTAATTATGTTATTGTGTGACTATGAAAAAAACTATTAATAAGTATGTACAATAATTTAATTAACATAATCAGTTCATCCTATTTCATTTACTCAAAAGTAAAACAAAGAATTCATTAATTTTTTTAGATATTGATAAAATATTACTCTTAATGGACATTAAATCTGTCATGTCGTAACGACTTAAGTCCATTTTTATGGAAATCGATATTATGGTGAAAAACAACTATATGTAGTGTCGACTCTAATATACAAGGATCAGAATAGACGAATATAGTTTCTATCGTTAGTTTTAGCATTTTTCATAACGACTTAAGTCCATTTCGCGAAAACAGGGGAAAGGCAAAAGGACTCAAGTCCACCTTTGCGAGCTCCAAAAATGCTATAGAGAGTCTACTTTGATTTAAAAATGAAAGAAAATGATATTCGAACATACAAATAGCTCTCACATTCTTCGAATGTTTTGAATTTCACTATACGTTTGGTACATTTGATACGCGAGGGGCCATTTTCGCGATTTTTAGTTTGGCCTTTTTTGCGAGATTTGAGATCTGACAGCAGTATAACGTTAAATGAACTATTTTATCAATGTAAAATCATTAAATGAGGTTATGATCAAGTATTATGAAAAGTGGACTTGAGTGCAAAACGTGCAAAGGCAAAACGACTCAAGTCCACATTTTTTACTCTGTATCATCGCTATGATGCGCCTTTCAATTTCATAAGTACATAGTTCAAAAGCTACCCATAGTAGTTTAAATGCGTTTTTGTCGAAAATACGAAAAATGGACTTACCTTTTCACCACAGAAATATATTTTTAGAAAAATTTGTATTAGATGAAATGACTTCGGATTGCAACGACTTTAGGAAAATATCTCTGATAGTGATTGAGAAGAATAATACGAGTTTATTATTACACAATTACGTAATAGTCATTTAAAATGAGATTTAAAAATCAAAACGATATACTAATATAATAACACTTTATCACTTGGTCCGATCATCCCCCGTGCATATACACATGCAATATTACATTATGTAATGTGTATGCAGCAACGACACAGCTTCTCGAATATTATGTATGCATTCACAAAAAAGACCTTCACACGTCAAACAAGTCTTTTTTTCTTTGTAAATTACTCGAGAGCACACACGTACAGGATAATATGCAATTTGATAGTTTCAATCAAGGCTATATCTCTCGTTTGGTCGTTGGCGCGCGCGAGCTCTGCAATTATATCAAAGCTGAAAAGTTGCTGTAATAAGGCACTAAAAATGAGCGAGCAACTAGATTACAGGATCCATTGGTACATGGCTAGCATAGCTCGAATTACCCGTCGTCCGAGCGACTGAGTCCATTTTTGCATACAGTATACATGCTATACGCATCGAATAAAAGCAGTTGCGATCCACGTGTATAATCGTTTGC